GAGAAGTTCAATGTCTGGAAGGTGACAATGACAATGAAGGACTGGTGAATGCTGCCTGCATCCCTGAAAGCCCAGTTGGTTGTCATAAGCAATACAGATTGAGGCAGAGCCAAAGGAGCCTCTGGTTTTGGGATTAATTCACCTTTTTTGTGTCATAGCCCCCTTGGGTAGTTTGGTGAAACCTCGGGACCCCTTCTCAAAATCATGTTTTTAAATGCATAAAAACAAAATGCATATTTTTACAAAGGAAACCAATTATATTGAAATACAATTACTAAAATATTTTACAAACAGGTTCATGGACCCCAGGTTAAGAACCCCTGGATGGGACTAGATGAATTCTGAGCCCTTCGAATTCTAAGATCTGAGGGAGGGATGAAAATGGGACAATGAAGGAAGAATTTCTGAGTATGCATCCCATCAAACTTATCCTCCCCCCCCCCACTTGGAAACCCCTGCCTCATCTATTTTACAAATCATGTTCCATCTCAGCCCCCAAATCCTGATCAAGAAATGCCCCCTCTTTATGAGGCCTTTCTCGTTTAGTACTACCCATCCTTCAGTAATTTTCATATCAAAACTCTGGCCTCCAGAACTTACAAATAGGATGATGATGATCATAACATTATTAACTCACATTCATATAGCATGGTAAAGTTACGAAAACACAGTACAGCATAGGGAGGCAGCAATGACATCAGGAGCCCTAGACTTGAGGTCAGTGGGGACCTGGGTTCAAATTCTGGTTCCTTTCTACATCTATGATCTTTGACAAGTTATTTCTCCTTTTTGGCCCTCGGGGTCCTAATTTGCAGTAAAATAGGGGTGTGAGACTAGATAATTTCTAAAGTCTTTTTCTAGCTGTCAATTCTATGAACCCTGTATAAGAGGTGCCTTAGAGGTTGAAGGGACCTTAACAGTCATAAAATCTGACCTTGTCATTTTACAGATGAGTAAACGAAGGCTGAACTTCAGGGTCATAGAGCATAGTGGCAGAACTAAGTTTGTGGGACCTAGGCATCTCCTGATTCCTAGCCCATGGTTCTTTTCACATTATCTATATGGAATGTTATGTCTTCCTTTCACACATATTACTTTGGGATTTTATGAATATCTGTTCTGTCTCTCCCCTTAGCAAACAAGGACCATGTGTCCTTCTATATCTCTCTTCCTCTTCAAATAGCTATTTAGGGTTGATATGAAGTGAGGAGCCAGTGCCCAGTGGATTGAAATGATGGCATGTCTGTGTATCATTCCATCTCCCATTTCTGTCAGTGATGTTCATTAAACAAATATTTATTCAGTGCCCTACTGTGGGCATGAGACACACACAGTAGGACAGCATGAGTGGAACTGACATATTCTGCATCCAGAGGGGCACTAGTATTTACTGTCAATTCAATCAATAAATATTTATTAAGCACCTACTACGTGCCAGGCACAGTGCTAAGTGCTGGAGATACAAAAAGAAGGAAAAAAAAACAGTCCCTTCCCTCAAGGAGCTCACAATCTGATGGATTTCTGTAACTTACTGTTCCATCATTCTTCCTTTCATAGCCTAAACTTGAAGTCAGTAATAGAGATGTATAATTCTCCTCTGCTAGAAAGAAGGGAGAAGATTGGGACCCAGGCCTCCTGGATCTAGTGTCTAGCTCTCATCTACCATGTTTCTGACTCTTGCTCTGTTGTGTATCCTTCCCCAAAGTAGGATCATAGATTTAGAACTAGAAGAATTTTAGATATCATTGAAATCAACCTCCTCACTTGACAGGTAAGGAAGCTGAGGCCCATAGTAGGAAAATAACTTAACAATAACAACAATAGCTATCGTGTGTGTGTTTGTGTGTGTGTGTGCGTGTAAAACGCTATAAGGTTTGTAAGGCACTTTACAAATATTAACTCATTTTATCCTCACGACAAATCTGGGAGGTTAGGTACTGTTATTATCTCCATTTCACAGATCAGGAAACTGAGGCAAACAGAGGTTATGTGTCTCATCCAAATTCACACACATAGTCAGTTAGCAGAGTGTGAATTTGAATGTAGGTCTCAGAACTTCAAATCTAACGCTCTGGACCAAAGAGGGAAGGATCCTGGCTGAGGTAGGGAGACAAAGAAGGTTTGGGGTATAGATTACAAACAAAAAAGTACCATAATCACCAGTCCATAGCAACATAATGAATCATCTCTAGTCAAGCTCAGGCCAGTGCTGGACTCAACAACTAAAGACAGATGGGGGAGAATATGGAGAGAACACAGTGGAAAACAAAAAAGACAGTTTAAAGCTGGGAAATGAAACCACATCATTTATCTTTGAGAAGAGAAGATAGGAGAGACATCATGGCATGATGGATTAAAAGCTGGCCTCTGAGTCCGGAAGACAGGAACTCAACTACTGACTGTAGGGTATGCAGTGGATAAAGTGCTGGGCCTAGAGTGAGGAAGACCTGAGTTCAAATTCAGCCTCAGACACATGCTGGCTATGTGACCCAGGGCAAGTCACTTAACCTCAGTTTCCTCATCGCAAAATGGGTTAACAATAGCACCCATCTCCCAGGGTTGCTGTGAAGATCAAATGAGATATTTGTAAAGTGCTTGGTGAACCTTAAAGCACTACATAAATGCTGTCGTCATCATCATCATTATTATTTATCCTGACTATATGAGCCCCAGTCAGCTCTGTAGGACTGTAAATCATAGAACAGTTGCTGACCTGCTTTGGTGGAGTGTTTCCTCATTGGGCAGTTCTCTGTGCTGATGAAATAACGGGTTTGATCCAAAATTTAAATTTTAAAAAATGTACAATGAGAGAAGACTGGAGGCTGATAAGCAGCTGTTCTCCCTTTCTGTGGAGAATGAGACAAAATAAAATGGGACTGAACCTGCAGCTAGATCAGTTACACACCAGAATCTCCCAACAGTGAGGGATGAGAACAGGTGCTTGACATTAGTCAGAGGACTTAGGTTGGAAACACTACTCTCCCCCTACTACCTTGTGTGACATTGGACAAGTCTCCGCGCATCTCTAGGGAGCCTTAATTTCCTCATCTGCAAAATGAGGGGATTGGTTTAGGTGATTTCTAAGCTTTTTCCACAGTGGATAGAGTGCCAGAACTGGAGTTAGGAAGACCCGAGTTCAAATCCTGCCTCAGACACTTGCTACCTGTGACTGTAGGCAAGTCATTTCACTCTTATCTGTTTCCTCGTCTGTAAAATGAGCTAGAGAAGGAAATGGCAAACCACTTCTCTGCCATGGAAACCTCAAATGTGGTCATGAAGAGTCAGACACAATGACAATGAGAAGCTCTTTTCTAGACCTAAATCTGTGTTTCCATTAGTGGTTACTGTGGTAATCACTCCTTCCCCGAAGATTTAGTCAATGTCATGAACCATGGCTCCCAGAGATAAGATACCATGATCTGGGGCAAGAACAGGGATTTCTAGCCAGTCTGGGGTTAGATAAGAGAGTCCTTGTGAATCGGTGCTTCACTCTCCAGCCTCCCACACCATCATCCTGTTCCCTTTCTTTGTCTCTTCCCTCCCCGCCTCCCCAAACACATGTACCGCTGTCTGATGGCTCATAGCGAGCGATCAGTTCCAAGGCAAGGTCAGAAGCGCGGTCTCCCTCTTTCTGCTCTTCACGAAGGAAATCTGCGAACTCCAGCAGTGTCAGCTTCTGGCCATCCCCTGAGAGGATTTCAAACAGCTCCAGGATCTCTGAGCGCTGGGTCAGGGCCCGATAGAACTCCACAAATTCCTCGCCTTCCAACATCCCTGACTCTGACTTGTCCGCAGCCTGCGTGGGAAGTTGTGGGGACAGGGTTTTCAGGGACCCTGTTCTCCGTTTGCTTAGCTCTCCGACCAGGCACCAGCAATGAAAAGAGGTTGTCAGGAAATAATGTAATACCAACTCTTTGTCATTTAACTTCTATGTGTCTCATCTCTCATGAGACAAGATGTATATACATCTTGTCTCCAATATCAATCAGTCAATTAGTCATTTATTAAGCATCTGCTATGTGCCAGGCACTGAGGACACAAAAAAAGAGGCAAAAGACAGTTCCTGCCCTCAAGAAGCTCACAATCTAATGATGGTCCAATATGATATCATTACAAACTCCTTAAGGGCAGGAATTATGCCTTAGACTTAAAACAGACCATAGAATTTAGAGCTGGAAGGGAACTTACACATGATCTAGCCAAAGGATTCACCCTTGTAGCCCACTGTGGAGGCTGTGGAGTTATTGGAAGGATTCTGGGAATCCATATGTAAATACATAAATAAGCAAACATACCTTCTGTAGATTGAATAATAATGATGATGATAGTAATAAAAGATCATAGCTAGCATTCAGAAAACACTTTACAATTTACGAAGCACTTTATACACATTATTTCAATCCTCATAACAACCCTGGGAAGTAGGCACTTTATTATCCCCATTTTACAGGTGAGTAAACTAAGACTGAGAGAGTTTAAGTGATTTGCACAAATGTAGTAAGTTTCTGAGGCAGGACTTGAATTCAGGTCTTCCTGACTCAAGGATAGTGCTCTATATACTATGCCACCTAGATGCCTCACACACATATGGAACATATATGTATGGCTTTTTCCCAAAAGTTAATAATATATATAATTCTTTGTATAATAATTATATATATTATATATGTTAATATATAATTGTATATGTACAATTAATTGTTAATGGTTAGTAATATACAAACTAGTTTTAAAGCATCATAAGATTAATAGTCATTTTAAGTTATTCTGTATTTTCCCAACCAATGTATATTCACTAGTACTATCATATGGAGGAAGTAGTCTGTGAAATATTTGATCATCAAAAAATGAATCCTCATACCTAAAAAGGTTGGGAACCATTGATCTAGCCCAGTTCTAGTTTGTTCTTTGTATGCCCTTCCCCCAACGGTGCCTAGCTAAACAGATAGACATTTAATAAAGTGTTAATCGATTGAACAACTAATTGATATCAAGAGGTGGCTTAAGCAATGAATTTAACTGGCTGATTCCTTTCCATCCCTCCCCTACCAGGACACACACCTGAAAGAGCTGGAGAGCATGCTCAGGGTCCATGTCCACATTCATCAACCGTAGCAATCGCTGCACCTCCCGGAAACTCATTCTACCGTCTTGGTCTTTGTCCCCCTGCTGAAACCAATCACTCAGCCATCTGCGTCAGGGTGAAGGAAAAGCCATGGCCTGGGTTTTGGGTTTGGTTTGTTTGTTTTTTTTTTTTTTGAGGGGGTTGTATTTTAGCATGAAGGGCAGATGACCTAAGGAACCTGAAATGATTCCATATCTTTTGATCACTCAAAGTACAATAATTTCTCATCCCGAATACCCTAATCCTACCCAGGATCCTTAGCATATCAGGTCCATATTTGACTTCTTTGTCCCAATCTTTGCTTCCTCCCTTTTTCTCTTCCTGTCCTGAGTGTAGGACATCTCCTCCTGTCCTTTTCTCTTATCATTCACCCTTGGGGTCCCATCATGCTATGCGCTTGTGCCCAACTCTGTTATTTATGCATCACAGGACATCCTCATGCTGGGCTAAAGTCATTCTCCCTTGGTCTGCCCAGGGTCCATTCCCTTGTTCCACCTCTGTAGTTTCCTTCAGTTCAGGGATTCTTAATCACTTCTTTGTGACATGGACTCCTTTGGCAGGCTGGTGAAGCCTATGGACCACTTTTTTCAGAATAATGTTTTTAGATGTGCAAGATTACAAAGGAAACCAAATATATTAAATACAGTTATCAAAAAAATTTTTAATTCACATACCCCAAGTTAAGAGCCCTTGCAGGGGATAGAGGAATGCATGAGTGGATAGATGATAGAGAGAGAGAGAGATAATTGGATGGATGGATGGATGGATGGATGGATGGATGGATGGATGGATGAACAGATGAATGATAGAGAGATGGATGATAGAGAGATGGAAGACATAGACAGAGGGATAGATGGACAGATGGATGGATGAATGGATGGATGGATGAATGGATGGATGGATGGATGGATGGACAGACGGATGAGATAGATAGACACGTAGATAGATAGATGGGTGGATAGATGGATGGATAGATATATGGATAGACAAATGGAAGAAATAAATAGACAGTTAGATAGATAGATATAGATAGATAGAGCATGCACTAGTATGTGGCACGTAATGTACCAAGCATACTTCGGCATCCTTGGACACTATTACACTACATACGCTCTGTGATAACCTTCTAAGCCCTCTTCTCACTCCCGTCTCAGCCCGATCACATCCTAATCCTGGTCCTTGATGTCCCATCATTCCTCTGTTCCTATCCCTGATGTCTCATACCATTATATGGGCTCCTCCCGTATATACAACCAGTCTCCTCACTGGAAGGATACTGGTCCATCTTCTCTTGCTGGTCCATGCTGGTGATAATCTCCTGCAGGCGCCGAAGTCCTTGCACCCAGCTCTGTGCCTCTTCGATGCTGCCTGCCACCAGGTCCAGGTTGGGGCGGCGCCCATGGAAAACAACTGTGAAGCCATGCTCTAGGGGGATTTCATCTGCTAGGCTCCGAAGCAGTTCTGATTCATGGCCTTCTCGCACTGTCTCCACATCTGAAATGGAGACTGAAAATGGAGTGGAAAGAGCAAGACAAAGGAAGGGAAGAAGAGTCAGGATTTTTTGTTTGTTTGTTTAGTTCACAGGCTTTTAAAGTCAAGACTTTGCTGTGAGGTCTCAGAGAATCTCAGAAATGGAAGGGACCTCAAAGACCATCTAGCCCAATGGTCTTTAAACTTATTGTCTTAAGACACTGTACTTTTAAAAATATACTTTTTTGTACTTTTTAAAATTATTAAGTGTCCCCAAAGAGCTTTGGTTTATAGGGGTTATATCCAGAAGTGTGCTGGTAAATATTTAACAATTGGCTCTCCAGGGAGAGCCACTTTTAAGTTTTACATGCGTAATGAACATTTTCTCCAACACTTCATCAAGTCTGGATGATCAATAAAACAACAAATCAAGTCCTAATTTATAGTTTGCCAATTTCAGAGGTGTAAATATTCACACTGAAAATTTAACAATTGACTCTCTTGAGCTGGCATGAGCCAGCTCCAGCACAACACTGGTTATACTTATCAATATATAACAAATATCAAAATGGATAAAATTTTAAAATATGCATTAATTCATTAAAATGATAAATCATAATGTTAACATAAATAACATTTTTATGAAAAATAACTACATTTTCTTTAAAATTAGTAATTAGAGTAGCATTGTTTTACATATTTTTACATATCTCTTTAATATCTGCCTTAATAAAAGACAGCTAGTTTCTCATATCTGCTTCTGCATTCACTCTGTTGTGAGATGTTGTTTTGGTTGAAATAGAAGAAGAAAATGTGGTTTCACACACTTTAGTCGGTAAAGAGAGGAGTATTTTAATAAGCAAATAATGTCTTAGTATTATTACGGAGGGCAGCTAGGTGGTACAGTGAATAGAGAGCTGGGCCTGGAAACCCTTTGTGACCTCATTTGGGTTTTGTTTTTTGTTTTTTGGCAAAGATACTGGAGTGGTTTGCCATTTCCTTCTCCGACTTATTTTACAGATGAGGAAACTGAGGCAAACAGGGTGAAATGACTTGCCCAGGGTCACACAGCTGGTAAGTGTCTGAGGCCAGATTTGAATGTAGGATGATGAGTCTTTCTGACTCTAGGTCCAGCACTCCATTCACTGTGTCACCTAGCTGCCCTACGTGAAGACTCTTGAAAGGTAAATATGCTACAGTTTAGAAATTCTTATTGAGCCTAATTGTCTGATTCCACTTCTACAAGGGAGAAAATTAATCACTGGCATTTCCTGTCCACCAGGGAACCAAATTATTTAACCCTTCTGAAGACACCTGAGATTAGATCTTATTTTGGCCTTTAAATGTTAAAACACCTAGAAGGCCTTCAGCTTGATGAGCGAATTGGCTATGGAGAATTTATGAGAGAATGTGGACAAGAATGATGTAGGATAAGGAGGCATGCTGGGTTGCTGTCTGTACTGCTAAAGGGAATATCCATAGCAATGATATAATAGATCTATTGTTATAAAGTATTGTAGGCTATCAGTCAAAAGATGGCACCCTTAAAGTGATCAGATCATGAGATTCTAGAATTGTTATAATGGACTTGGCCAATGGTGTTTATAAAATGTTGGCATTTATTTCAGGTGGAGTTTTTAGAAGCAAATAAGAAATCATAACACCTTCCCCAAATCTAGCTCCTGCCTGGAAACACAACCCTTGTGTCAGAGTTCCAGAGGGGACACACAGGCACAAATACAGTCTGTTTGCTCAGTGGATACTTTTGTAGCCCAGCAGTTAATCCCCAGGCTGGTTCTGTCTCTCAGTGTCTTTTCTCCCTTTCCCCATCATCCCTTTTTCCACAGTTACTCACAGCTGGGTTTGGTTCTTCCACCAGCCTGCCGGGCGTACCAAACAGTCATTCCATCGTCCTGGAGTCTGAAGTATCTCTGCTTCTTCCAACTTCGGGATTTGACCTTGCGTAGCACAGACCCATTCTGCATCAACAGCAGATCATCATCCAGAGGCAGCCCTGCAGGTGGGGAAGGCAATGTGACAGAAGAGCTGGTTGGGGGATTTGAAGAGACCGTGTAGACAGTTCTAGAACTTCACCCCCGTCATCTTGGTCACCATCTTGGTCACCATCTCCAACATTGTCTCTTGCCTCCCCACATCCTCTTCTCCTCCAACTGATACTCACGAATGCTGTGCAAGGGTGATGCCATGACCCTCACGACTCCCAGACTTCACAGAAAGCACCTGCTAGGGCAAGAGGGAATGTCAGACATTGGACTTACCTTGGAGGTCACACATAAGCAGATAGTCTCAGAGATGGAAAGGACCTCAGAGGACACTGAGTTTAATCTGTTCTGGATTAAGAATTTCCTCCATAACATACCCATGTGAAGACACATGAAGATATGATGACAGACTGAAATAATCAAACTATAAATCTGCATGCATTCGTAGACTGTTAGAGCTGGAATGGTCCTTAGGAATTATTGAATCTGTAGAAGCATATGTAACACTAAGACTTCACTTGTGTCACAACTAAGGGGTGCAGTGGATAGAGTACTGGGCCTGGAGTCAGGAAGACCAGAATTCAAATCTGACCTCAGACACTTGCTAGCTATGTGGCCCTGGGCAAGTCACTTAGCCTCCATTTGCCTCAGTTTCCTCATCTATAAAATAGGGATAATAATAGCACCTACCTCACAGGAGAGTTGTGAAGATAATGAGATAATTGTTGTAAAACACTTTACAAACCTTAAAAAAACACACTATGTAAATGCTAGCTATCATTATTAAGAAAGATTTGGAATATTACTATAAGTACTGTAAGAAATACTGTAAGAAATGATGAACAAGTTGATTTAAAGGGGCAGCTAGGTGGTGCAGTGGATTGAGCACCGGCCCTGGATTCAGGAGGACCTGAGTTCAAATCTGGCCTCAGACACATAACACTTACTAGCTGTGTGACCCTGGGCAAGTCACTTAACCCTGTTTGCCTCACTAAAAAGCAAAAAAAAAAAAAAAAAAAGATTTGGATTATTACCGTAAGTACTGTAAGAAATACTGCAAGAAATGATGAACAAGTTGATTTTGGAAAGACTTGCCACGAAATAATGAAGAGTGAAATGAGCAGAATCAAGAGAACATTGTATGCAGTTAACAGCAACATTGTTTTAGGAATGACTTTGAGTGAATAAGTTATTCTGAGTATTATAAATACTCAAGTCAACTCCAAAGGACCTATAAAGGAAGATGCTGTCTACCTCCAGAGAAAGAACTGATAAATAGAAGTATGTACAGTATGGTTTTACACACACACACACACACACACACAGATACAGGTATAGTTTTATATATATATGTAGATATATGTATATATCTATAAATATATATCTATACACCTATACATATCTATACATATATGCATATGTATACGTGTATGTCCAAAGGTGGCATTCTCTAGTGAGAGATGGAGAGGGAGGGAGAGAGACAATTCAGAACTTAAAATGTAACAAAAAATTAATTTAAAAAAGAAAAAAATATCATGAGTGGCTTAGTCCAAAGCCCTTGGACTCAATAAAAAACTAATTTGTATTCTTTGAAGAGATTTTATCAGTTTCAGGAAGGAATCTTTATTTCCTGAAATTAAGAGACTTGTTTATCTCTATCAAAGAAGAGTAGAAATGTCTTTAATTACATTAGGAGAAATATCTCTTTGGTCACCTTTGACCATATTAAAAGGGGAGCAGCTAAAGGAGTGATTGATTTTAGAAGTTATTTTTTCTAAGAGTACACCAGCAATAATATTACTTTAGTCTTGCTTCAATAAATCAAAAAACTTGGCATTTAACCCTTGTACCTTTGGTGTATTTTGGTGTAGAAGTATCTTTTGTTTTAGTATGTCTGTAGAATGTGGGGCAGCTAGGTGGCACAGTGGATAGAGTGTCAGGCCTGGAGTCATGACTCATCTTCATGAGTTCAAATTTGACCTCAGAAACTTACTAGCTGGGTGACCCTGGGCAAGTCACTTAACCTTGTTTGCCTCAGTTCCTCATCTATAAAATGAGCTGGAGAAGGAAATGGCAAACTACTCCAGCATCTTTGCCAAGAAAACCCTACATGCGGTCACGGAGAGTCAGACACAACTGAAAAACAACTGAACTGAAGCTATAGAATGTAAGTGGAAATTACCTGAGTGGCAGAGAATTTTGATCAGCACTGGGAACTTTGCCAATTTGGACCTCTCTCATAGAAGGAATGCGTGTCTAATAATAAATCATCTCTGAGAGCTTTTGGCTAAGTTTTTCCTCTGTAAGTCCAACACCCTCATTTTACTGCTAAGAAAACAGAGACCCAGGGTGGTTAACAGGACTTGCCCAATGTCACATAGCAAGGCAGTGAGAGAGCAAGAAGCAGAACCCAGGTCTCCTGAGAACTGGTCCAATCTCTACCTTATACTGCTTTCTGAAATAGATGCAGATCTCTTGACCTACCAGTCTACTGGTGCTATTTAAAAAGGAAATAGAGTTAATCTGGTATAGTTTATTTTTATTTTTAGTAAGCCCATACTAATTCCTAGTGATCCATACTTCCATTTCTATGTGTTCACAATTCATCTGTGTAATAAGCTGTTCTAAAACCGCCTGAGGATTAATGTTAAGCTCACTGAGAGATCTTTTTTAGGTTCTGCTTTTTGAAAATCAAGACTTCCTCCTATCTCTAGTGTTTTGGCATCTGTCTCAAAGATCCTACCAGGACATTTCCCCCGCCTAAAGTTTCTTCAGTCATCTGGAATCTAATTCATCCCCACCTAGAGACATGAATCATTTAGAATCTAGGTGTTTCTTTATTTTGGGCTTCAAATGCCTATTTTAAAAAATATTTCTATTGATGTAGCTTATTTGTATATCACTTTATTTCTGAATACATTCTTTCCCTTCCTCTACTCAGCAAGTTGTCCATGCCTTGTAAAAAAGAATAATAAAGAAAAAGGAAAAGAAAAAAGTTTAGTAAAAGTAAGTAGCATATGGGTATAATGGAAATAATGTCAGGTTTGGAGTCAAAGGACCTGGGTTTGACCTGTGTGACACTGGTCAAGTTATTTAAATCCCCAATTTTCCTCATTTTTTGAGGAATTTTTTCCTCATTTATGAAATGAGAGGATCTAGCCTTGTCTAAAGTTCCTTCCAGCTCTAACTCTATGACCCCATGGTCAGCTGAATCTGACAGGACAGGTAGCTCCACACCTATAATCTCCAAGCTCTGCAAAGGAAAGAAAGGTTGTTGTTCAGCCATGACACCATTTGAGGTTTTCTTGACAAAAATACTGGAGTGGTTTGCCATTTCCTTCTCCAGATCATTTTTACCGATGAGGAAACTGAGGCAAACAGGGTAAAGCAACTTGCCCAGGGTCACATAGTATGTGTCTGAGGCTGGATTTGAATTCAGGAAAATGAGTGTTTATGATTCCAGGTCCCATACTTTATCTGCCAAGTCACCTGGTTAGAGAGAGATACATTTTCTTATCTTTGAGGACAAGCCTATTCATCGAATATCTCTTTAACCTATGTTCTTCTATATTTTCCAGGATGAAGACTGGAATAATACAGAGTGGAGAGAGAAGGAAGCTATACTACCTTTTAAAATACCATTTTTTTTCAACTTTTATTTAGTATTTTATTTTTCCCTAGTTACATGTAAAAACAATTTTTAACATTCATTTTTAAAACTTTGAGTGAAAAGAACTAGTCTTAAGAAAGATTTTACACTTGCCTAAATTTCATTGTTTTAAAGGAAAAGGAGCCAAGTTAGATCTAGGAACCAGTCATCAGAGTTTCTTCCATTCTGTGTTCTATGATTCCTTACACCCAAATACCCCATAGTAGCCATACAGCCTCTAACCAGACTTTATTCCTCTTGCCCCGCCTTGGTGGGGATGGAGAACAGCAACCCTTCATTATAAACACCTTTCAGAATCTTGAAATCTTTCTTTTTAGCATTTTCTTGTTTAGCTCCCTCAGAAGGTTCATTTTTCAGGTTTGTCTGTTTCTTCTCAGCTTTCTGGTCATAGAGAATTATAGAATGTTGGAGCTGGAACCTCATTCCTCAGGTCATCTAATATAACCACCTGTCTGAACAGATGAGGAACTTGGGACCCAGGAATAATTTGAGCCAGTGCGGTGGGGTGAAAAAACATTAGGCAACCTTCACATCCTGGGCCCTGCCTACCTTTCAAACCTCACTGCACATATATTCCCCTTTCTGTCCTCTGAGAAGCAGTCAAACTAGCCCTCACCTGAAATGTACATCCTCCTCACCTCTACCCCTTAGAATCTCTCTTCCTTCATACACACATCTCAGGAACCACCACCTACAGGAAGCTTTTTTTTCTGATTTCTCCCTTCCTTTTCCCAAATTACTAGTTCCCTCCCTCCCTAACTACCTTAAATTTAACTGGCTTGGCTTTATCTTGTATTTATTCCATATACTTATTCTATATATTTAATATTTATTCTATATACTAAAATACTTAAGGATTTATTCTATATACTGATGAGAATGTAAATCCCTTGAATAGGATTTGTTTCATTTTTTTTTAATTTGAATTCCCAGAACCTAACATGGTGTCTCACACATAATACCTAGAGCTGGGACTCAGAGTATTCTTTTAGAAGGGATAGTCCCCCTTTGATTTCCTCTGAGTGGTGTAAATAGTCTAGAAATTGAAGGGTAAAGCAACTGTTCCAGCCCTCAGAAAAACAGATTTCTTTCCTTGTTTTTAAAAGATCCCAGAACTGGCCTGAGCTCTCTCCCCAAAGCTCTCTCCTTCCTTTCTCACCCCTGCCAAACATCTTATCCCAATGCCAGGGCTGGGCACTGACCACACCACTTTTCTGTTCTTTGATTTCTCTTTTTGTGGCACCAGAGATACAGCTATTGTTCATGTCTGAAAGGTGGGACCCACTTTATTCAACCTTGGACTGCTCACACACACTGGAGCCTCACAAAGGACCACAAAATGGAGACAGGGTAAGAACAGGTCACTGTATCTACTATTTAACAGGGTGAAGGAAATAGCTTTGATCTATGTTGTCAAAACTTCCCTATCCACCCCTCCCTCTATTTCCACATCAGGGTTTTACCTGTGTTCAAATAACACAAGATCTGTGGCATCGGTTTCATCTAGAAAAGGACTTTGATGGGTAGAAGGTCAAGACAGAGGAAGGGGTTGGTCTTGAGACAAGAAA